TGCTTCTCTTATCCAAGCACAGAATTTAAAGTCTACTGAACTGTATTTTTAACCATTTGGGGGAGGGCCAGCAGTGACGGGCTCACCCTGAGCCCATCGTTTTAAGACCAGTGGTACACAACTGGGAGAAGGCTAATCCGATCAGAAGGTAATTCTGCTCTATGAATATGGAACAGAGAAAAGCTAACTGACCCATACAGGGGTGTCACAGATTATTAGCTTTTAAGAAACTTTACATATTGCAGGGTGGTTTCACATCTCCAGCGCTAGATTGATGTTGAAGCCCAGAAATTGTGTGCTGAGTAGGAGTGGAATAGGGTCACACAATGTTTATGTAAATCATTTTATGGACACGAAAAGTGACATTTGTTGTCAGAGTCTTGGAGGGGAATTGATTCTGTAAACAGGCATAGAAGGACTCAGCGGTATCAGGTATAGGGAGGAATGGCAAAGGAGTGAGGTCATTGTGTTCCCTTCTCTTTTCTTCCCTGGAAAAAGCAAATGTGGTGGGTTCCCTGCAAGCCCCAAAATACAGGACCCATAGCTCACTAGGGCAGGTTGGCCCTAGGAATGTGCACATAGGAAAAAGTGTCAGCCCAGTTTGCTGTAAATCTTTACCTTTGGGCTTCCTTGTCTTCAGCCTCCAAAGAATAATGTACGTAAATACAAAGGACCATGCAAAATACATGAGGATATACCAGGATCACAAGAGTTTCAGCATGTATTCTGATTTTGACACAAGGAAATAAATTCTTCTCATCTGAGGGCCGAATGACAATTAGTTCTTGGTGAAGTGAGAGATGATTTATTCAGCCCTCCCTCAAGTCCCACTGTGTCATTTGATTTCAGCAACTCTGTTTTTTCATGTTTATGTGATCTTTCATAGTTAGAACAAAATGGGGTAAGAGAATGGGGACTGCAACATGGATGTTTTCCTTTCTGTATCCATGTGGATCTTATGAGGTTCCAGTACCAGGAAATTGACCAGCAAACAGTAAAATAGATTTTTATATCTAAGGCACACTCATTGTTCCTCTTGGTACTATCAGATCTCTCTATTTAATGTCGTAGACCTCAAAGAAAAGTGCCTTGGAGAAGAAAAAAAGAAAAAGGGGAATAATAACATAACCTGTTGCCCAAAATGAACACACAAGCACGGATCGCTTTCCAAAATGTCCATGATTTCAGAACATAAATGCAGGCACACCCTTAAAAGAAGCATTAGAAAGGAGAAAAACTGGCCAACTTCCCGAATCTCACTGAATCCAATTGGACTGGGTGATGACCGAGATCAAAGGCGCGCAGTGATTGGACAGAGGTCCGGGAGGAACTGGCATCTTCAGGGCTGCTGGAAATTGGCCAACTCAACCACACCAAGCAAAAGCAAACGGAAAGTAAACACGGTGAATAATCTAATGCACATGGGGGCACCCTTCACAAAATGCAAAGCTTATGTGTTCCCAAGGGAGAAAGTTCCAAGTTGTCAGCAGCATATACTCAAAGGCAAAATAAAAACGCAGAACAACCCCCCTTCCAACCTAGAGCCTGAACCTTTGGCTTCTACTTTAGGGAGATGGACGAAAATGACCTCTTTGTCATGGTGCCCACCATGTTCCCCGCCCTTCCCTAAGTAACTTTGTCTCTTGTCTCGTTTCTAAGAAAAATGAGATTTTTCAAATTTGGGGGCAAGTGTTCCTAGCTCTGCTGTTTATGATGCCATTGGTGGAAGGTTGCTGCAGAGATGTGATTGTCTAGATACCATCCTGTCTGTGCCGCCTTGGCATCTCTGATGAAAAGTACTGATAAGATCACTGCCCTGACTTCAGGGAGAGCGTCCACACAGGAACCAAATGCCCTTTTCACCAGTAACGCTTACCTTCCGTGCACTCCTTTTATTACCTGCATGTAACAGTGAAAGAGATTAGTTTATGGTCCCATTCCCCTACACAAACACTTCCCAAGCCCCACACCCCCTTAGAAGCATAGAACAAAGATTCCAGACAAATTCTTTTCTGCAGGTTCATGGTATACAGAGGGATAGAGTCAGAATGGAGGCTTTGGATAGAGAAAATCTTGGAAAGAAATAAAGACATAAAGAGAGAGAAACAAAGAAAGACATTCTTTGCAAACACGATGCCCTTTAAAAAGAACGTATAGATTACATTCTCATAGAGGAAAACGTGGTCAAACGCAACAGCATTCAAGGGATTTCCTCCTACCAAATTGTCTCCGGTCCCTTAATTGTGTTTAAGCCTTGCTGAGTACTTTGTTTACGGTCCCTAGTACAGTGATTTGCATCCCCTCTCTGGGTGGCTGTTGGTGGGGGCCGGCAGCTGTCTCAGTCCGACTCTGGCTGGGGAAGGTAAGAGATCTTTGCCTTGTTCTTTGAAAGATCTAGGAGGGAAATGTTGAATGCCTGTGAGGGTTGGGGCTGGGGGGGGGGGCGATCATAGATATAATTTATACATTGAAGACTTTCAGAAAAGTTCTCCAAACTTAAAGGAGTCTCCTGAAGCCATGTACTTTACGAAGAAATAGTGAGATTTCCTCTCTCTCCTGAAAAGAAAAGACTTGCAGAAATAAGACTGGTTGCCTGTGGGTGAAATTTTGCATTTGGGGGCAGGTGTCCCTGAAGGGATTCCCAGGGATGTCCACTAGCTTATAGGCATAGAGTGGAAGGAGGAATAAACATTCAAAGGCATCAGGCATACATCACTAGGAATTCTCTTTGAATTTCAATCTGAAGAAGTAAAGTTAGTTAAAGTCTGCCTGTGTCAGTAGTTATAATAGATATTTTCTGATACAATTTCCACTTTATCTCAAATCTTTATACTTCTTTGAATTTATCATAGAAATCATCGGTTGTCTACTTAAGAGTCCAGAGATGTATATGTAGGCAGAGGCAGATACAAGAGAATTAGGGTGAAGGAGAATTAGGGTGAGTGAGTCACCTGAAGTCTGGCAAGGCTGAAGAAAGCTTTGCTATTAGAAGTAATGACAGACCTGCCCACGCTCCCAAGGCACAGGTACATTCACTGTGCCGCGTTATAGATTCAGCCAAGGGCTCCTCTTAAGAGGTTCCATTCATTTACCTTTAGCTTTGGTAACAGGGAAGCATGATTTTCAACAGAGTAAGGTGATACTCAGAGCTTTGGTAGGATAAGTGACCTAATTTGGGGGGAAAGTGGCCCATACTAGGAAGCAGGGCAGAATTGCTCTCGAAGGCCAGAGTTCACAGGTGGGAAGATCGCTCTTTTAAGGAGTTTCTCAAGAACCTCCAGTTTTGGTAGCCAGTGGCTCCCAATCTCCTTGTCTTGCTGGGGCAATTTTAGCAAGTTCTGAGATGCCCTGGTTCTAAGTATCCCTGATCGTCAACGCCAAGTGACAGCACTCCTGGGGGATGATGGCTGTGTCCCTTTAGGTCCCACATTTTAAGAGCATGAGGATGGTGACCGAGACCCTCCAGGTACTTGTCACAGGCTGGGCTCACCTAACTCAGCCAGGCTTCGGGGACTTTTCAACTTTAGTTTTCTAAATGATGAAGCCTTATTTCTGGCTTTCATTCTAGAAGAAAAGGACTTCTGATCCCTCTTCCTTTGGGACAAAATCACCATGGTATCGTTACGAGATGAGGCTGGAAAGAATGTGCTATTATAAAATGGAAGTAAAATGTTTGAGAACATCCAAGCCCTTTGCCAGCAGTTAGAGAAATCTAATAATCCGAAACAAGGAAAACAAATCTCTTCCAAGATTTCATTTGGACACGTAGACTCACTATATTAATTAAAAGGCGTTATTAACATTGTACAGATTAAAAAATGGGGGAGTGGATAACTTTCAGCTACGAAAGTATAGAACAAACTTATAATAGTCTCCCATTATTCATTTTTTTTTCCTCAAAAAGACAATCTGGGACTTTATGTATTTCAAATACTTTAAAATTTCAAATAGCTTGTCTGTAAGAAAGCGTAACTCTATAAAGCCATTTATTGAGGTGGGAAATAGACTTGTAACTTTATTGTTTGAGAGTATGATGTGTCAATGTGATGTATGTTTGAATGTTTAGAACACCTTGCTCCTTAAAGTGGGCCAAAGAACAGCAGCCTCAGGGTGGGTAGGGAGCTTGTTACAAACTGAATCAGAATCTACATTTAACAAGCTCCACAGGTGATTTATGTATCCATTAAAGACTAGGGTTGAAACCAAGGGTTTCTTTCCTACTGTGTGACCTTTGTCAGATTACTTAACCTCTCTGAGCCTCTGGTATTTTATTTTGTAGTAAACTAGTGAGAATTAATATTAATGGTGGCATTTGTTAATATAGTGCCATGCCCACGGTATTAATAGGTACTCTGTAAATGGCAGCAATGATGATGACCAAGCATTGCCCAAGTTACTAACCTCCTAGTATAAGCTGTCAGCAGTTCTGTTTAAATCAAGATGACTAGTTTTCCCCCTTAACCAAAAACATCTGTGTCTCCTTCCTAAATAAATTAACATCAAACAAGTGGGATTTTAAGCGTCATATGACCATCACACACATGACAGGGAAAACCTAGGAATATGGATTTTTGCTGGCTTAGAGGCTGGGTTCAGCTGCCCGATGACTTCACAGCTGTTCCTGCCGCCCTAGCGTGTCTGTCCCCTCGGCTCTGTCCCCTCAGCTGGGCCTGCAACGCTGACTCTGGGATTTTCTTATAAAAGTGCCTGATGGACGGGAGGAAGATCTGGAGGTTGGCTGGGGAAAAAATGAGTCATTCAGATTCACAAAGCAATCTGCTTAGTAAATGCTGCTAGAGAAATAAAAGTAAAAGCTGGCTCCTGTCTCTAGAGACTCTGTAGAAATGATTCCGACTTATCATGTCACTGAGCAGAGTTGGGGGAAGCCAAAATCTGCTGGCAAGGAAAAGAACGAAAGGAAAAAAAAAAAAAGAGAAAGTCAGGGAGGGGCAAACCCGAGGGGGAGGGAATAAAAAGAGGGAGGGAGGGAAAGACAAGCCTCATTTAGGAACAGAGGTAGCCTGAAAGAAGCAAAGAGCTCCGGATCCCAAACCAACCCACGTAGTAAAGTATTTTTACATCTTTTCTTTTCCCCAGAAGAGATCCCTGACCTGTCATTTTATTGACAGCTGGGCTGTTACAGGCTCTTTCCCAGAAGTTGAACGAAGAAGCTCCTGTTGCCGTTTCTTCCCTTCCAAGTCAAGTGGATTCCCTGGTAATGGACTGCCTCTCTCCGAGGTACGTGCGAGTTGTCTGGGGGGAGATCTTCATTTTCAGATTAGCTTAATTACTGCTTTGGAGTGAAGTTTTTTTTTCAGACGTAATCTCAAATATCCCTTAACTGGCTTAGCCAGTATTTAGCATATCACTGGACAACAGTGATTAATTTGTTTGGTTATTAAAAATGACACGTAAGTAGACAGCCCTAATATTTAGTTTCATTGCTCAGGGAGTGATATTTTGACCTGCCAGAGTGGGAGGAGAACCAGTGAGGTTTGATTTGGGGTTGAATTTGTTTGCAGTAGATGCTTAATATATTCAAAGAATTAATCTCATCGAAATGGTCTCAAGTATCTTCTTTTAAACTCTTTCGGTAACTGCAAGTGCTTAACTATTCAGCAACTAGACAGCTTCTTGAGAATGGAAGATGGGGACTCAATATGTCTGAGTAGCAGACAAGAGTTGTCACTGATTTCTTCTAGACAGCATTTCAACCAGATGCTTTTGATCAAATGTCTCATGTTTTGTCCTGAAATTTTCAGGTTCAAAATATTTAGGAAGGGGCATACCAACAACTTTTACACACAAAGGCATGGAGAAAAATGAATTTGTAAAATTTTGCTAAAAGTCTAGCATGCTTATTTGTTTGAGCATGCCATAGTATACATAATATCAAAATTCCTTGTTGATTAATAAAAAATTTGTGAATTGACAACTAATTGTCCTAGCATTTGATTTTATTTTTAACAGGGCAAAGCACAAAGTTATATCCTATGAAGTTGTTGAATTTTTTTTCTTATTTTTCTCTTTTCAAATGGGTATTGTCACATTTCAGATCACAAATCCTCACCTCATTGTCAATGAATGTTTTGCTGAACTGCCTGCCCGCATGGTGTACTAGAAAGGTCCCAGGACACATGTGTTTAATAGTAACGCAATGGACTTGTTGGCTGTCAGTTGACGGAGAACATAATTCGTTGCTGGCTACCTGTCTTGACATGGATTTTGTGGGCAGTGGATGGGTGATAGTTTGGAAAGAATGCATGTTATGCCCAGCAAGACTGGCAGAGTCTGAGTTGCTATGAGTTGTGGAACTAACTGTGCGAAATATTGTTTATAACATATTCTCCTCTTGAAACGAGGCCGTCTTTGGATTAGGATTCAGGCTTTTCTGTGTGTTTAGGGGAAAGAGAAAAGCAATAGACAAAGCGGAAAAGCTTGTAAAACATTTTTGTAGACTGCCAGGGTATATTAAACACTGTAAAGTGCTTCCTGCTTTTTATGTCTTCCCTTTCTTTGTGCTCATCTGCTTCATCTTTCTTAATTTTTGGCTCAGTGCAAAGAGAATACAACCAATTAAGGGAAAAAGTCAAGGTGATTTTTAAACGCATCTGTGCCTCCTGGAAAGGAGGCGTCTCCCCAGTTTTTTACTTCTGTTTGCAGGGCTTATTCTGATACCTTCAGCTGACGTTTTCTGTCTTCTCCGCAGCTTCCACCCTGGTGAGACTCTCCAGATCTAAGTCTGCAAACCCAGCTAGGAAGAAGCACTGCTGTAAAAATGACTGAAGAGCCCATAAAAGAGATCCTGGGAGCCCCAAAGGCACCCATGCCCGTGACGCCGGAGAAGAACCCCAAGAGCGAAGTTGTGGTCCCCACAGTGCCCCTGGTCAGTGAGATTCAGCTGATGGCCGCGACAGGGGGCGCCGAGCTCTCCTGCTACCGCTGCATCATCCCCTTCGCCGTGGTCGTCTTCATCGCAGGCGTCGTGGTCACCGCGGTGGCGTACAGCTTCAATTCCCACGGCTCCATCATCTCCATCTTTGGCCTGGTTGTTCTGTCATCTGGACTTTTTTTATTAGCCTCCAGCGCCCTGTGCTGGAAGGTGAGACAAAGGAGCAAGAAGGCCAAAAGACGGGAGAGTCAGACAGCTCTCGTGGCAAATCAGAGAAGCTTGTTTGCTTGAGACTGAAGGAGACCCAGTGGGCCATGTGGCCCCAAAAACCTGCTATAACTTTGTCAGCCGATGCACCCAGAACCGTCGAGGGAGACAGTTGACGTGGTATTGGAGCAGATGAGAAGAAATGGGGGTGGGTGGGGGTGGAGGAGTTTCTCCTTTGAGAGAAATGACTTGTGTCTTCTTTAATGACAAACTTAACCCTAAGGGCTATTTCTAAGACTGAAAAATCAGCTTTCTCTTTACGTTAAACATTTTGGGGGGTCATAGGAGGTGCCCAGCATTAGACAGCAATTGGTTCACCCTAGAAAGTAGCCGAGAAAAGATGGAGTGGTCTTAGCACACCAAACACACTTCCAAAAGAAATAACCCATACTCTTAAGAGGTTGTATCATAAAAAGCTTTCTGCCAAGGGTCTAAATTTCTTTGGACTTTGTATACTTCTATGAAATTCTGTGATAATTTTTTTTTCAGTAAGTTGATTTTCTGGCATCTGTTTTTATTTTTCACTTTCAGTAACTCATCACTGGTGGTACTTTATCTTGAAGAATAAACTAATATTTTTTATGTTTTAACGTTAGACCATTTTAGGTGTTTGCAATGATGTATCAGAAGGAAAAGAAAAAGTAAAAGTTATATAGCTAATAGATGATGTTGGGGGCTAAATTAATATTAAAATAATCCAATATAGCACTTTTGATGATTTTTATATAAAAGTTAAATGTACATTTAATTCAAAATAATAAATACTCATTGCTGCTGAAACTTCTTAAATGGTTGTTTCTGTTGTGGTTATTTTTTATTGCAGTTCCAAATTACTCATCTTTCCTTGTCTCATTTGCAAGTTCTCAACTGTACTTCTCTCATATGGGCATGTTGCTTCTTCTTAACTGTACTCTAAGATTTTTATTTTTATCATATTTTTTCGTTACTACTGAAGAATAGTATTAATTATGTTTACTATATTCTAAAGGATTTCCCTGCCATTATAATTAGGGAATCAACACCTGGGGTCGGGAGTTTTATAATGTCCCATTAAATGTGCATTATATTTTTATTGAATCAGTCATTAATTATTTGCTTAACATGTTCCTAAGTACCACCAAATGCCAGACATCATGTAGATTCTCAGCCTGCTTACTCCGTTAGTTCTAATGCAATGCAAATAAGGTTACGGCTTGAATTCTTCTGTGGACGTTGAGCTATTCCATAGCTAGGACTCTACCCCATGACTCCAGCCAGAGATGTTCCTCATCCATGTAGTTTAAACCGCATTAAACTAAAGCATGAAAATAGGCATGTGGCATTTCTTAAAACTTGGGAAAAACAAAACAAAAAAGCCTAGCATAGCACATTCGTTGACAGGACTTCTATCCAGGAATTTAATTAAATATGGCAGGAGCCTTCTGGCACTGACTACTCCCTGGTGCTCACGTAGTTTGGGTAAGTGGAAGGAAGCACCTTAATGAATTTGGAGGTCAGATAGTGGCATGTGCCGGTCAACATTCCTCCCAACCAAATGCAAGCAAGTGTAGAGGACTGCGCTCATTTCAATGCGAGTTAGTTTGCTGTGACATGTCTCTTTTCTGCTCAAAGATATTCAAAGGCTCCCATTGTTTTGTGAAGAAATTTCTCAGGCAAGGTTCAAGGTTCTCCAGCGTGAACCAAACAGATGTACCCGGCTTTCATTCTCATTCTAACCTCCACAGGGACTTACAAGTTAGCCAGACGAGGCTATTCACCATTCCTGCACTAGGCTCTGGTTTTCTTGCCTCTATATCTGTTCAAACTTGTGTTTTCTCTCTTTTATAATGCCATCCTTTCCTCCATCCAATCTCCAATCTCCCCAAATCCCGCTTCTCATCAGCACCCCAGCTCAACCGTTTCCTAGAAGCCTTCCCTTTTATCTGAAAGTGCCCTTTCTTAAGTCATTATTTGTTTTCTGTTGGCACCTCTTATTTTCTATCTTATTTGTGGTATAAGTGTTTTATTCCCATTCCAAATATCCTTGAAAGTGTGTGATATAACTTCTTTTTAATTCCAATGTGATGCCTAATATAATGTCTTGTGCAGATTAGGTACTCAATAAGTACCTAATTGAGGCACTAAATGAACCATAGAATGAAAAATCAGAGAATAACTGGTTTATCCAAAATTACAGTTCATTCTAATCTCTTTAAAAACGGTTTAGTTCTCAACTCTCCCCAATATAGGTCATCCCACCCGATCATGCCTCCACTGTAAGCACCGTGTCTAGGTGAGTACTTACTCCTTCTGCACTTTTTCAGCCAGACCTGCCCTTCAAAATGCTTGGAAAGCAAACTCAGTGATTATTTCTGGCCACCAGGGGGCCTCCTGCTGCTACTTGAGTCCCCACAAGAAATACAGTACTATGAAAAGACTCAAACAGTAATGACTGAAATAGGATCATATCTCTCCCAGATGTGAGGAGTTGGAGGAGATTCTCTATTTAGCCCACCCCTACCCACTACCCCAAGCCACTTCACACTGGCTGTCTTGGGGTTCTTCTAGTACAGAAAGGACTTGCCTTGTCTAGGGAGCCTCTAGTCACATTAAAAGGTACATACCGTTGCAAAGCTGTAAGGCACAGAGACAGTCCTACACACTGTGGATCCCAGCTCCCACAAGGAGAATATACCCAGACTTGAATTATGAATTATCGCAATTATAGCATGTCTTTATTGGGCAAGGTCTATCTTTACAAATGGTTCCATTATGTACAAACGAGCAGGTGTTAAATGAATATTTATATAACATGCATGTGTAAATGTATTCAAAAGATGATCTGGCCTCATCCTGGAACATCAGAAACCAGCTGTATCGCTTGGTGGGATTCCCCCTAAACCCACACATCCCACAGTACACAGAAACAACTTTTAACCTTATCCTACGTAGTTGGGTTCTGGCCCAGTGAGAACCACAGCTGCTTGGTGGCTTTGCTCTCCCCACCTTACTATTTTGGTTAATCTAGGCAATCTCGCCACTGAAGGAGGTCATGTGGATAGTGCAGACGGCTAAGGCCAGAAGATAAACCCAGGAGAGCCAGTTCAAAAATCCTCAAACCTATTTATTCCACCCCCCAACACCCCTAAAAAGAGAGAGAGTGAGTGGGGAGAGAGAGGATAGATAGATAGATAGGTAGATAGAGAGATGAATGATAGATAGATGAAGGATAGATAGATGATAGTTATCCTGATCTCTTGGGAAGTAATTATAGTTTTGAACTTGGAAGATCTTGATATTATAGCCCTTATAGTGTAACAGGACTCAGCTGCACTTGTTATTATTCAATATTCTCCACCACACTCTGAGTCTAGTACTATAAGTGTCCACTCTGCTTTGCAGTTGAGAAAACTACAGTTCAGAGAGTTAAGTGACTTGTTAACCAATATCTCACAGCGAGTGAGGCCTAGCCCTGGGACCAATAAGTTGACCATGCATTATGGTTATCCCAGTGTCTTAGTGCTTTGGGGCTGCTATAACAAAAGTACCACAGACTGGGTGGCTTATAATCAACAGAAATGTATTTCTCGTAATTCCAATGGCTGGGAAGAATAAGATCAAGTTGCCAGCAGATTCGGTCTCTGCTGAAGGCCTGCTCTCTGGTTCAGAAAGTGGAGCTTCCTTGCAGTGCCCTCACATGTCAGGAGAGGCAGAAAAGTTCTCTGGGGCCCCTTATAAGGGCACTAAACCCGAAACCCTCATGACTAATCACCCCACAAAACCTCCACCTCCAGATCCCATCACGTCAGAGATTAGCTTTCAACATACACATTTGGGGGGACACAAACATTTAGTACATATCACCAGTTTTGTACTTAGCCATAACCTAAATCATTTCCAGAATGTCTCTTTAGGAAAGGGAGACAATATAGGTATTATAACACCGACTTTTGAAAAACTCTTATGAAAGTATAACATACTCAGAGAAAGGCACACCGCTCAGTTGAATTTCTACAAACAAACCTGTGGAACTAACACCTGGATGAAGAAACTGAATATTGCCAGCACCTAAAATCTCTTTGTATCCACCTTTCTTGACTATCTCTCCGGGAGGAACCACAATCTGACCTCTAACACACCAAGTAGCGTTGCCTGTTTTTTAACTTTACGTAAATGGAATCATATAGTGCATACTCTTTGTGGCTGACTTCTGTGCAATAGTGTGTTTATGAGATTCATCCATATTATTGCATGTAGTTATAAATTGTTCATTCTCATTGCTGTATAGAATTCCATTGTACAAATACACCATAATTTATTTATCCTGTCTACTGTCGACAGGCATTTGGATAGTTTCTGGTTTCTAACAAAAGATAGAACTTTGGGTAGCCAGCCTCTAAGACAGCTCCAGTGACCCCTGACTCCTGGTGTTTGCATGCTTGTGTGGTCCCCACCCGCACTGTCTCAGAGCTGGTTTGTGTGAGCAGTGGAGTATGAAGAAGTGATGGTATGTCGCTTCCAAGATTAGGTTATGAAAAGCATCTTGGTGTTTCTCTCTCTTGCTCTCACTCTCACTCTCTCCACTTGTTCTGAGGGAAGCCACCTGCCATGTCTTGAGAACACCCAGGCAGTTCCAGAGAGGTCCATGTGGTGAGAAACTGAAGCTTCTGGCCAACAGTCAGAGAAGAACTGAGATCTGCCAGCAACTACTTGAGTGAGCTTGGAGGTGGACCTTCCCCCCAGTGAGGTCTTCCAACAATGGCATTCCCTGCTGATGGCTTGACCAAAACCTCGTGAGAGACCACCACCACCACCCCTCCCCACCCCACCCTGCCCCGCCAGGGCTGCATTGTGACTTTACGGGACCTATCTTTGTGGGCCCCTTCCTCCATTCCAAAAAAAAGGATGTGTCTCACTCACTGGAAGGAGGAAATTGTACTGACAAGTATTGTAGGCCCTGGGCACTGTGCCTGCTGCATCTAATGGATGAGTTGGCCCTGCACCCAGCTAAGTTACTCCCAGATTCCTGAGCCTCAGAAACTGTGAGATAATAAATGTTTGTTGTTTTAAGTTGCTAAGTTTGGGGGTAATTTATCTTGTGACAATAGGTAGCTAATATTGTATTACTGTAGAATTTCTTCTAAGTGAATTTTGATGTGCGTATGTGCATGTTTCTGTTAAAGATAGACCTAGGTGTAGAATTCCTGGATTAAAGGATAGGTATGAGTTCAACTTTACTGCCAGACACTTTTCAAAAATAGTAGAATCAATTTACTCTTGACCAGCACGATAAGAGAGCCTGGATGTACTACATCTTCATTTTTTTCATTTTAGTCATTCTGGTAGGGAAAACTTCTGCTTTTAAAGTATTG